CAAGCGTTGATTAAGTATCCATTCCTAGTGTTCGCAGCTCAGCAAGTCCAACCTAAGGAAACCAGCGCTCCCCCATAAGGTTCAGGTTCCAAGCCCGCTCCTAATTCCCGACTTGACCCTGACCGGTTCCGAAGTTTCTCTTTGAATCCGAGTCTGTGAAAAGGGAGCTCTTTGCTACTAAGTCGCCTCAACATACCTTTTTGATGAGAGCTAATTCACTTATCGCGCTATCACGCCTTTCCTCATAGCTGTCCAAAGGAACACATTTCACAGCAAGGACGCGATCAGAAGGAATGTGAATACTTCTGAAAAGTACGTAGTTGAAGGACACAGTAATCATGGCAAAGTAAACTCCAGCAGCAAAAAAACGACATTATTTGCCTGTAAACACTGCCGAATTGTCCTTGTGATATGAGGTTTAAATGCTTCAGATCTGAAGGAATGATTGCCGGGATATCGTCGAGGATCGTAGGCGAGGAGCTTACTGAAAACTGAAACGGCTATTCTTAAAGGAATCTTCCGCGGAAAAAGCTCCGCCTCCATTACCACAGAAAAACGATACCCCTTAGGCCCCTAGCCTCATGAGCATAGCAAAAAGAACGGAACATAAGCGTTAGTTTCGATAATACTAATCCTACACACAAGACAAAATGATCACTCTTTCCGTGGAAGATTCCTTTAAGGTATCGTTTTCTGTGGTAATGAGGGCGGAGCTTTTTCCGTGGAAGATTCCTTTAATCAACGCAGGATTCCAGCCTTATTTTATGTGTGAGCATTGGGAAACTTTGAAGGTTGAGTGGAGAAAATTCTCAAACTTCAATCTTTGGCTTACTACAAAAAGGTTATAGCACTCATTGTAAAGGAATATTTTGACAATTGAATGCTGAAAATTGCTTACCTAACCATATTTTAGCCATGTGCTCTCTTTCCAGGAAGGCCACAAAGGCAGGCATGTCATCGTCGCTTCGTATAGCAATGCGATCACCATCTTCATCTTCATCTAAACGTCAGTTAAACGCATTCTTTCTAGAAAACTTCTACATGTTCTGTAATTTCGGCTGGATTCAACTAAAACAGTGCTGGTTGGGTAGGGAGCAGGGCTAGAATTCTGCATCAGTTTGCTAAGTTCGAGAGACGAAAGCTCATTCATGACGACCAAGCTCCACATCTACAGGGGGGAGGGGCAAAAGAAAATGGGTCATTTTGCCCATGGCGCACATCATCAAATTTTTCATCACACAGGATGAAAAATTTATCAACAAAAACAGGGGGTCGCAACTGGACCCCCTCGAGAGCTAGGGGGTCGCAAAAATCCCGAAAATGTTTGAACGTGACGGTTGACCCTGCCTCCACTGCCCTCACCGTCCTCAAAATATGACGTCATCTTCCATCACCGTTGTGCTCAAGAAGGCCTACCGTAATCGTTCCAGCCTGAAGCTGCTACAAAATTTCTTCAATCGGGTCACTGGTAGATTTAGATGCTTCCTAGGGACAGTAGCTCTGAACATGCAAGACAGCTTCCAATTTATTTCAGACAGTGCCGTAATGGTCCATGATTCGTCGAGGACCAGGTTGAGCTTAAACCGCGCACAAAGTAAGGTTTACATGGCATTCTTGTGATGAGGTTGGTGCAAAAAGTTATTATAACGTCTATTGGTAGATTGGATGGCGGTTTTTATAAGTTGGGGGTACTTGATTTGTGTTGAAAGTGTGATTAATGCTGTCTAAAATGTGGAGCGAAGTGTCTCTTCTTTTTGGCCACACCTGTATACTGGTAAGAGTGCCACTTATCACTCTCAAGGTCCAGTGAGTGGATGTGGCTTGATTCCCAACCAGACTCAACTGTGCTTAAATTTCACCGGCTTTTATGTCGTCGTGTCAGCTTAAAGGCACAACCCAGGCAGAGGTCGTGTGAACGCTTCTCTTCGGTCTGTAGTATAGACCCCTAGAGGACAATCACAAATGTGGCGTTCCCGTGCACGGAAACCAACCGACAAGAGCGCTTGGGCCTTGCAAAGTAAGCTGCTGAAGCTGCAGATTTTTTCTCTTATCAGGCTGTTGTCTGGCGCTCTCTCATCTGTAGCGCTCTCTCGCCTCATACTCTCCTCTCCGCGCTTAGTCTCTCATTCCCTTAGCACAGCCGATTAGGAAGGTGACCCTTAACCTGAGCGTTTTCGACGGATTCTTTTCCTTTTTCTTCACTGCCGGCCCACTTCGCACCAATACATTCGCATTCGTGTGCAAGAGCCACACCAATGTGATCCTGGGGCATGCCTTTAATTGCACTCAGAATGGCATCACAGCATGTGTATTGGAGCCGAAAGTGTAGCGCATGCCAAAAAAGGATTGATCAAGCTCAGAGGCCTTATGGTGTTTTGCGCTCATTTTTAAAAGATTGTTGCATCAGTGGCGACCTCAACTTTTGAAGATTGCTGGAGACGAATCATTAGTAGAGGAGAGCGACTAGTTTGAAGTTTTTTCCACAAAAATTGAGCTTCTGATCCGCTTTTATTTTTGGGCCATTCTAGCCAGCTAGTTGGCCGACTTCGCTCAATCGAAGCACGGCCTGCTCTTATTGAAAATAAAGTCATATAAAAAGAGAACGCACATTCGAAATGTTCAAAAGATCCGCATTCGTGTGACAGTTCTGCAACGACGGTGTCAAAGAACATGAGAGTGATACAGGAGATCTCAGTCCGAACAACGATTCCATCGTGAGTGTGAACTTCCAAAGGAAAGGAAGTCATACTGAAGATGAAAGCGACTTACAGAAACAAAATGGGAAAATAGTTTAAAAAGCAACTATGGGGGCGGAACGAAGCGACAAATAAACTCGTAGAATAAAGCCGAACGAGACTGAAGACAAATTATATGACCGCGAATGTTTTGCCAAAAATAAAATCAGCGTTGTGAGTAGTGCAACAGCAGATGAAAAATTAAAGCGCCAAAAGCACTAAAATCAATGGCCACCTTTTCTTTGAGTGGGCAAGCTCAAAAAGACACCAGGCGTCAAGGAGAGAGAAGAGACGACAGAGATTGGCGACAATCGAGACGCAGACAGCTTGCTGTGTTGTGAAGCAAGACTGCAGCCGGTTGCAGCCAAACGAAAGGTCCCCTAGTACCGTTGTCAAGCACTTCCAAGTCGCTTCTCTAGCTAATGACGGTTTGGAAAAAATGCAGAAATTATATGGCGATAACCCCATCCTTGGTTCCGTTTTACTAAAATGATTAAATTTCGAGAAATCAGATTTACTGTCACCTGGAAGAGCATTCTCCAATTTCCAGCGGAGCAGTGATCTTTACTCCTCAGAGAACCTAACACGGCCATGATTTGAATCATAAGCACCCCCTCCCCCTCCCTCCCTCAGCATTCTCAGGCGTGCTGTTTCCAACCCTCCCAGCAATAAGAATGTTCAGCTCAGTTTGAGACTCCCAAATTTTATGCCACAAAACTCAAAAATTCTAAGTACTTTACTTTTTTTTCCCCAAAATGAAACTTTTTGAAATTTCGCGTTGTTTCGAGTTTCTAAGCAACTCAGGATAATTGAGCCGCATCATGAAAACAATCTCCAAACACAGCGATGACAAAGACGGATAGAAGAGGGGGCTCGCCAGAGATTAAGGAGGACAATGATGAAACCACGGCTATTGTTCTCCATTTTTTATGAGGTATTTCTCTGAATAACTGATGTGGATAGTTCAGTAGTCAGATACTTCACGACTCGTAGGATCGAATTAGATCCAGATCACACAAGCGTTAGCTTTGTCTCATGTGCCAGTTGATACGGTAGATCAAGGTGAAAAGAATTTTGAATGAAATCCACAACACGTGGCGCATCTCGAAGGGTTCGTTGCCACCAAGACCTTCACGACACTTTCAAAAATGAAAAGACTCTCCGAAAACTTTGGAAGGTTTTGATTCAGTGCACCTTGTTCTACTGGAAAGCCGTCATAGATCTAAATCAATAGGTGCCAGCTCTCAGAAAACCAACAAAATGCCCTTCCAAACACCCCTATCTATAAGCACTATAGAACAAGCACAGACCGATTCGTCGATAAAATCAAGGCCAAACAACTTCTTTATTAACTAGAATTTGTAGTCGTCGAGTGCATTCATAGCAGTGTACAGTGTGGTGAACCCAATACCGGTTCCTCTAGTACACTTGGCCCTCATCACATTGATTAGATAACGCGCAATGTCGGCCAGCAGCCCCTTTTTACCGTTCGAATGTCAACGCAGAATTTTGATTATCTGAACTTTGAAAATAGCCTCTTCTTAGCTCATCCTGATCAGATTTAGCCCATTTAGGGGTCTCATCCAGTAAGGAGGGCATGTGGTGTGACAGTTCTTGCCGGCTACAGAAATTCCAATTTTTGCAAGGGAGGGAATCCCCGGGGTGCGTGAACCATTTCGCTTAACTTTTACACCCACCCCGGAGCTTCCCTCCCTGAAAAAAGTGGATTACTTCATGCAGTATGAACTGTCGCACCACATGCCCTCCTACTGGATGAGTAAACATTTACGTCTTCAGTAGGTGCTGATGATCTAATTGCCGTCGGAGCTAAGCTGGATCCAACAGTCAGCCTTTTGACCTCTCCTCTATTTTTATGGTTCTCAGGCCACAACATTATTGCGCATGTCGGTAAATTGACTACCCCCCCCCGCTGCCCCGCCCCCCCCAACCCGTCCCCTTGAAGCGTATCCAATATGGCATCCTTCAATTCCAAATGTTAGCGTTCTGTAAACACTGGCCTGGCCATACCAAGAATTTCAATCTCGTTCTGACGATTATTATGGAAAGTTTCCTTCGGAAGTTCGAAGTAATTAATTCTCCGAGTTTTGAGTTAAAATGAGTGAAATCAAATAGATCTAAGCCACAATCATTCTAGTCACGCCATGCATCCGATCTCGCTTATGATCCATCCAAGATCCCGTTTTACTTACATTTTCATTCTCCCTCTTGTTGCTGATATTTCATCTCTCCCTTTTGCACTAATAACACTCCACTTCAAACCCTTACCCTCATGCTACTACGAATCCTCAATTTCATGGCGATATTACCAAACAAGGCTATGAATTCAAACTATTGATATTGAATATAGAGAATAGTGACTAAGTATACCTACGAAGACGACAAACTTTTGAAGCTGTCCAACTTCTTGTTGTTGTCAACCACTTTCTAATCTCGGGCCCATAAAATCGATGAACTATAATACTTGATGGTGAACTTCGTATTTAAGCAGCTGAACATGAACACTGCACTGACTACCGTGATGGCTATGGCTCTCTCGGCTCATGCTATTTATCACTACCAGGTGAAAAAAATTCAAAACTTTGTTCAAAGTGACTGCTCTACTTTGCCCCGACTGGTTTCATTTCCTCCAAATGTCGTAACACCGCCTTCAATTATTGTCGTCTAGAACGATCCTCTTGTGGATATGTCGTTCCGCATATGAGAGGCTACGCATGGTTTGACATTTACCACTGCCGTCCTTAACGGCCGTGGCGAATTCTTCATCCATACAGTCATTCGGCATTAGCCAGTGTCCTGATGGCGTTCATTGACAGACATTCCATATAGCCTTGAACAACACAGCTGTTTGGAGCTGACAAGAAGCAAGAACTTTACTTGCGTAACTACAGAACTTATTGACATGGTTGGAAATCAATTATTAAAAAAACCAAAAATGAAGGGCCGAGTATTTGAATTGATTGTACTGATATTATGGAATTCTTGTGAATTTCTCCTAAAGCAAGATTCTGAGATTTCCATAATTTTTGGATGCGCCAAGCTTTCAACCGTCATCAGGACCCTCAACACTTGAATGCGATATTACTGTACGCATTCATAAATAATCGATGACTCCAATCTTGCCCTTTCCCAGCATTCAAGAAAAATCAACTTAAATAATTTTTTACAGGTAGCAATAGGAGTGGCATTGACAGGAAGTACACGACTGATGCTGGACACAAAAACTAATATATTCAAGTATCCTCGATATGCTATCCTGGGCACTATCCTGTTTTCCAGTATTCTCACTACCATATATTCAATTAAATACTACTTTTAATAAACTATGAAATTCAGCAGAGATGACTTAATCCTTGAAAAAAAAAGTAGAAACTCGCTTTGAGATGATTTAATATCGTCGATCGACAAAAAGTTGTTCGTAGGTCTTGTCTATTCCGTGAAAAAAGCATGTGTATTCCAGTGAAAAGCGTTTTACCGACATTACAGTGACTAACACCCTAATTGGACAATGACCAACGGGAAAACAATTTATATCAACAACTTTCTCTGTAAATGTTTGTCAAGGATATGATCTATATAATAGAACAACCATGTGAAATCCTAGCAGAAGATTTTCACCGAATGAAGCCATAAACCAAAATTCAACGAAAACCAGAGAAAAAAGAATCTGCATTCATTTTTGAATCGAAAGCATCCAACAACACCAATAGAGGCCCATGATCCACAACGGAAAGTTATTATGAAACCGAGCAGGTTGGCAATCTTCTTTCGAAGGAGGAAAAAGACCGAAGTAACAAGGAATCGCATAAGACATGTTAACAGTGTCAATTTGGTCAATAATCGTATTTGAACTCAAGATAGTCATCATCGAATTCTTGAACACGCACATAACCATCTTCACCACCAGTGGCAATGATGTTCCCAGACGGATGCCATGCCATCGTATTGATGGGACCGAAATGCCCCTGAAATGAATGATTAAAGAAACAGTCCAAGCAGGGTTTCAACCATTCGATCTAAAGGGTGGAAACATGCACTAGCCCTAGTCAAGTACATAGGAAATGTCACTGATTTGAAAACTTACCTTTGAAAGGCGTTGGAAGGGGGTCTAACGCCTTGAAGTGGGCGGGTCCACCGAGCCTCGGTGCTGCCGCCCACTTCAGTTGTGGGGCGGTATTCAATCCTTCCCCCAGGGGGATATATCCCCCTCCTCTGATTCAATCCTCTGGGGGACAAAAAAGGGTTGCGTCATAGGACCTAGCATACCTCTGTGTTTCTACCTGCCAGACAGTTAGAGCAGCGCTACTACCCTCCACTGATGAAGCACTCTTTTCCCAGAGTAGGGGGATATATCCCCCTGGGGGAAGGATTGAATGCCGCCCGTGGAGAGTGCGTGATTGGCTGCGCAGACATTTGCGGTCATTTCGGGACCACCGGGACTATTTGAGGTCAATCCTTTGAAAATCAATGTCGATCATGCTTAGAGCGCGTACGTTTTGGTCACTCATTCGAATTGGATTTCATCACGAAAATTTTTTCGATTTTCATCATCGGATCCCCGGTTCCAACAAGCGGCCCAAGTGTATTTCCCATGGGGAAGGGGAGGGGAAGATGGGGAAGCGATTGACAGAACTTTTGGCTAAGCTGCCGGTATCAGTCAACATCGGGCGAGAAGTTAACATAAGATAAGTCAATCCACTCATATGAAATGCAGCTGATTTACACCTAATTGGCCTAGTTCACCATTTTGAAACAATCTCTTCCCGAAATAGATGCGTAAATAGAAGGGAAGACCATACGCAACACTAGAACAAAAGTCAAATAAACTTACTTTAAATCTAGCAAATTCCTCTTCAAAAACCATGTGGTAGAGTTTTGCTTCGAAGTGACCAGCAGAAACTGCTGTTTGTGTTACTTGCATAGCATCCTCTCCTCCTCCGAGGCAAATATGATCACGAATTGGTGAGATACAAGCAGAATTCACTGGTCGCTCGGAGCTAAAAGTCCATCAATCAACTCATTCCACCTTGCATGAATAGCCTCTGAAGCTATCAGACAAATCGGAAAGAAGCCAATTTACCGGTATTGTTTTAGATTATCCAAAGTGTAAACGTCCAGCAGCGCTGCGGTTTTATCCTTTGATGATGATATAACGAATGCCCCATCAGGTGACAGTTGTAGGTCAGTAATGGCGTACTTAAAGTTCTCAATTACTACAATACACTTAGAGAAAGAACATCGTGAATAAAATTACCCTATGAACTTTGTCATTTGACAAGCATGGCTCATCGTTAGTTTTCAGGTCATACTGCAATATGTGTCCATTTTCGAACCCAACAGTGACCTGAATTTGGGAGCTCTGTCAGTGCGAAAAACTACGACAAAATTAGAACATAAACAGATCCTTTCTATTAGGGCGAACAATCGCATTCTCCTTGTGGATACACGAGAATTTGGGGCAAAAGCCACAAAACAGAACCTACACAGTCGGTAGCTCCGCTAAAGACACATGTCGTTGCTGAGTTATCAAACTCAAAATGAGTGCGAAACAACGGACAATCAGCTGTCATCTGCTGGTCGTCTCGGGTATCCACTACGCACAACACCGATGGGTTCTTCGTCATCTTCTGAGTGGTGTAAGCTAGCAAATTACCTAAAAAAATAACACTATAGGTGCGTCGTAAAAAGGTATCATGTAATTGCAGCTCAGAAGTGCAATTTGAAACGCAATAAAACTCTACAGATACATAGCACGCTAACACGAGAAAAGTTGCAAGACTACCAGATATGAGTGCCTCGGGTTACAGCTCATGTACACTCCGACAGCGGTACGCTGAGTTTCTTGAGAAGCTTCAGCAAAGGATTAGTACCGTGACTTGCCCAGTTTCATTTTTCACTTTCGTTTCGGAGAATTTCGGAGAGCAAGCCTCACTCTTTAACGTAATCCCACTGGGTTTTGACGTCAATGGATTTGTCTAAGAACAAATCCATGAAAAATTTGGAAAATATTGGGCGACACGCCAGACTTAAGCCTTCAGCCACTACTTAGCCATGTTAAAAAAATCCAACGTTATTGAGTTAATTCGTCTTCCACAGCGATATCTTCAAAAGACCCTTAACCCATTCGCGACATTGCAGCCACCGGTGGCTGCAAAAGATCTCACTTGTACAATGGTATCCACCGGTGGCTGCCGTGTTTCAAATGGAATTTGGAAAGTTTCTCTTCCTGAAAAGAATCTTCATACCCTCATTCATCTATGCCAGCCTTGGGCACGGGGAATCTCCATCCACTCAAATTTTATTGAAGAAAAATCTCCTGACTCTCCTGCTAATGCGCAAACCGGCGCGGTCGCGAATGGGTCGTTAATATACATCATCACTACCAATCTACTATCCGGTAGTGATGTTTTTATTATTAGAAAAATAAGTTTAGTTCCTCGAGAAAAACAGATCAAGCCCAAAACATTGAAGGAGTTGAGAAAGGGCCACGAAGAACAATTTGAGCCTCCTTACTTTCGTGAATGCTGGCGATGAGCATCAGGAATTGTAGGAGTTAAAACCACGCGTAGAGTTTCGTAGTGTTTTATTCCAAACTGCGATTTCTATGGCTATTCTATGAAAACTTTGCGGCTGTACCTATAGCGCACTCTGTAAGCATGAGAGGCAAGTCAGTAGAATCCTTTAAATTCACAACAAATCGTCATATACCGTCATATTGTAGTATAAAACCAACTAAATAATCCCACACCCTTTTGAGAAGTTAGAAAAGAGACACACATGAGGAGTTCATCATGAACTCACCCGAAAACGAAATATTGACCGATTTCGCAGGAGTTGGAGTATTAATAGTGTGGAGCACCGTACCAGTTTCACAATCCCAGAACTGAAAGTATTGACAATACGTAGAAGTCTGTACTCCTATAATCTAACAGTATAATGGCACATAGGATGGATGCGTTGATCACATACCTTAATCGAGTTATCTCCGGATGCCGTTCCTAATCGAGTAGTGTCCCATGACACATCTACATCCCATACTACACCATTGTGCCCATCATATGTTCCTTGAAATACATTACACATTAAAACATCAATTAAAATAGACTAATTGACACAAATGCTGAGCATAATCTAACAAGAGAATGCGCTTGCCTCAAAGGCCTCAAAAGCACATTAGAGCGTACTTTGTAAGGCTTATTCCTTGCTTGGGATGCTGGGGAACCAATTCGGCACTACTTACATTGCTTGCAGAAAACTTCAGTGGAAAACCGGCTAGACAACTATGGCTTGCTGATACACGTGAGTATAAAATTTAAGGATGCAACGAGTGGAATTAACTGCCTATTTCACTATATAATACCCTGCATAAAGTATTCGATGCTCAGATCAACTCCTTCAGTACCTGAGGCCGATGTAAAACTTTGCGAACCCACCAATTCGCTAGCGAACTGGATTCGCAAAGTCTGACACCGGCTTGAGGCAGAGGTTGGCCGGCCACGATCGTTTTACACGAGCACAGCTCACAGAAGCACGTTGAATAAACCTGCCAACGAACTATTCTCCAAAGATCAGGAAGAAACTACAAGGGTGATTTCGTTTTCTTCTTCCGAGACTGCCGTGTGCTTGGCTCCGTTACATAGCTACCGAGACTCTCAACTTCACGTCGAATGAACTCATCTCTTATAGGCGCACCCTTGCGCCGACACTAATAGTGAATATCTAGAAAGCGCTTACGTGACGACGCTGAGGGCACTATTGCGAAATAGTTCCACGCAGTGACTTTGAATTAAAATGGTTAAGAAAGAAAAATTAATGAGCACACCACATCTAAGCAGGCTTACCGATACGTTCTCCATTTTCTGTGTACCATAAGCATGGTTGTTTGTTTTTGGCTGCAGATATAAGCAGATCACCTTCACGGTTGAAGCGTACGCGAGTGAGAGCACGATCATGACCTTTCAAAGACAAAGGCCTCATTTTTACTACCTGAAACAACATATCGTATAAGTTTCGGAAGAACATAAGCGGGAAAAAGTGTACACCAGCCAACAAAACAGACAAAAC